CTCTAAACTATTTACCAGCAACATTCATCCCCCCCACCCCAACCTGTCTCTTACTCACTGACTCTTCAATTTACATCTTCACTGACTGGCTTTCTTGCATGCATACCAGCCTCTGGAATTTTTACTATTTATTCCATCCAGGAAGAGCACATGTCAGCTGCAAATGCTTCCTCAGCTCAGTGAAGGGTATTTATACCTGAAAGCTTGCAAAGAAGAATGTTTCCAACTATTTGAGTTGGTCTAATAAAAGATATCAGATTTACCCAAAGCACCTTGTCTATTTTAATAACAAGGATGAATAAGCATGGCCAGTACTTAGGGCAGCCAGCTGTCCTGTTTATTTTCAGCTCTCTTCCAGGGGCATTGGTTATCACTAGAGAGTTATGCCTGGAAATTCACATTCAGAGAAGCCTCTCAGACAGAGGAATAAAACCTACTTTTACTGGGGGCCAGCTTTTTGGCAAGAATGCTACAGATTAGCCCCACACCCTCCTCAAGTGCCATTCCAATCCCCATCTGCTGCTCTGCTTTGTGCTAACTGCCCTGTGCTTCTTTCCTGATCTGCTGCTTTGCTTTCTGCTTCTTGCCCCATGCTTCCTACACAACTGCTGCTCTGCTTTCTGCCTCTGTGCTGCCTGTCCCAACCCTAGTCTGCTTCATGCTAGACATGGAGGCTGCCTGTGCCACTTGTGGCTCATATGCCACAGATTGGTCACCCCTGTCATAGATCAGTTTGATTCATTTTATATACAAAATGTGAGTGCTGCATTGGTTGGTATGAGCAGCTACTTCTGACATTAAATAAGTTTCATTTTAAATTAGCTGCAGTCTTTGTCTAAGGATACCTCATTGGTCAGAACCAGAAAAAACAAATACTCTAAAAATACCCATCTTATGTAACACCGCTGCTCTGGTATTAATTTTTTTTAGTTTATGGTACTGCCATCAGACATACAAAGAGGCAATCTTCCTTGCTTCGCTGTGATTTTTTTCTCATTGCCATTTTCTTACATTTGTTTTTTTCTTTTGATTAGCTAAATAACAGCACACTCTCCAATCAGCGCCAGGCTGTGAATCAGGGGCAAAACCCTTTGCCTTTCTATCTGGCCCTCAATGTCAAAAAGGACACGCAGAGCAGTTTTGCATTTAAAGGTAAATGTTCAAATAGGGGTTTTTTACTTTTCGATTTAAAGGAGACACATATTGAGTATGTGAAGAAACACTTACTTTTCTGCACCTACCCTTCCCATGTGAAATTATTTGCCTCTTCTGACTTGGGAGGAGAGATATTTTTCCTTAATTTGTCATGGCCTTTTCCTGATTGTTACAATGCCAGGTTCTATTCCTAACTCTTTCCAGTAATAAAACAAATTCATTTCAAATCTTCCTACAGTCTTTTGCTCCATCTATGGTCTTGAGCTTCCCCAAAATGTCTCCCAACAGGCCATACTTCTGGACTACTACTAGACCTCAGCAGGGGTATAGCAGGGCAGTTCTGCACCTTAGGCAGTGGTGATGCAGCGTTGGGTGCCATCATGCTGAGGGCAGCGGCAGCTGTTTTTGCACCCTACTCTGCAAAGGCAATGCCTGGGGCTGCTGCCCTAGTCGCCCCCTGTAAGTTATGCTACTGGACATCAGCCTCAGTGTACCTTCATTTCCTGAACTGAGGAAGGATTACGGAGCTGAGGCTGACAAATTCTGCATATGTTTTGAATAAATGCAGTTAAGATATTCTGTGGCTTAATTAGCACACTGTAAAAAAGGGCTGGTTTATCAGGAGCATACATTGCAAAACATATTTATGAGTTCTTAGCCAGCTTACCATAGTCATAACTTGACTAGTGACTGCACACATCTCAATTCCTGACATCTTGTTCTGTTACAGAATGGTGTGAATTTTCTCCTTTTGAGGTGGGATTTCTGAAATATGGAGCTTTCATTCGCTCAGAAGATTTTGGTAGTCATTTCTTCATGGGACGCCTGATGAACAGGATTCCAGAATCAAGGATCTGCTACTTGGAAGGTAAAGTTATTACAATAGAGGAAACCTCAGACTTCTGAGGAACAGTTGGACACACAAAGACAGCATGGCCTGTGCTACCGAGGTCCTGTGGACCCCGGGGCAGGATCCCACATAGAGATGATTGGCAAATATTTTTTCTTATGAAACTTTTCATATTTTTCAAATTTGTAGTAAAGTAATTTAAAATGGTAAATTCCAAGTTTTTAAAAAGCTTATAATGGCTCAACACCAAAATTATTTCCAATTTGGGACCAAAAGCAAAGACTGAAGAAAACATTTTTAGATGCGTACAAAAAGTTCTGTTTTGTCAAAAAGTCTTTTTTCCCCAAACCATGCTTCAATGAAAAAAAATGTTGGCCTGCTCGAGTGTTAGCAGAATTTTGTGTGGCGTGGTAGCAATTCTGCAGCAACTCCAGGAATCTTTAACCTACTCCAGGCCTTGGACCAACAAACATCACCCATCAGAATCAGAGACTTGTCACCAGCTTTCTGACCACCCACTAAACTCTTCCCCTCCTGGCTTGAGGAGGAATGTGGTAGAACAGGAAATCTGGGCCTAGATTTTTTTTCTCTTTTGTATTAGTCTCTCTTTTTTTTATTCATTTCCATTTTTAACCTGTTGGACTTCAATGAGCTTTCCCTGCCTTTGACTTCCCCAATTTTTTTTTTTTTTTTTTACTGTTTCTCATAAGAGAAATACTAATCTGGTAATGTGAAAGTTGAGCTGGATTTTGAGCCCTTGGTGTTTGAAAAATCAAGCAAATTTGGTTCCTGCTTCCCTTATGACCACCTGGATGACTATCTTATTCTAATGAACCAGGCTAAAAGAAAAGCCAATGAAATGACTTGTAGGTTTTGATCTGATTAGCAGATTCTCAGTCCCCAATGTGCCTGTATTTACAGCAGTGTGGAGTAACATCTTTTCTGCGAATCTGCTGGATGTCTGGAATGTTGTCACCAGCTTGTACCCAGAATGGAAGGAAGAGGATGGTAATAGGGATTTTATATTATCCATTTTATCTGTATTAATGGGAGAGATTTGTGTTGAAAGAAAATTTAAGGTAAAACTCATTTGATTTCACAAGATGAATGTCTCTCTAGAGTTTGTCTCTTTAGAGCTGGTGAAGGGAGGTGTTATGCTGGAGATGGGTTACATAGGTAGGTAAGATGTTTCCGTATTCATCCTGTTAAAAATACAGTGGTGGTTTCTACATCTAGAAGGATGAATCGAGGGGCTGGGGATTGATTCTTATTTGTGGACAAGGACTCTGCTCCTTGCTCACCACCGTTCTGTAAGTATTACTGGCTCTTTCTTGCTGGTGATAAAGGTTTAGACATCTTTCACTGGGAAGAAGTGACTTTTCTCAAATTTAAATGTACAAAATGAGAATGGACTCTTTATATCTTTAGGCCTCTTGTTACTCACATTGGCCCAGAATTCACCTGCCATGTGAAAGCTGTCTTTCTACCAAAAGTTCCCTCCACTCTTACTTCAAAGAGTAAATAATGACACAGCGTTGTGGGGAAGCAATGACGCTAAGGCTGTCTACACTGCTAGTTAAGGATTCTCTTAGGCCTACCCTCAGCCCATACTTGCTAATCATCATCATCAACTGAAGACCTTTCAGTTTGAACCAGTTTGACAGCTGGTTCTTAGTCAGGCTTCTGCTGGGTAGATTTTACTGATCAGAGGAATCAAGATATTCATAATAGGCCTTTGAAAACAGAATTTAGTTCACTATCTGTAAGGACTGGGATGTGGACAGTCTGGCATAATGGTTAGGCCACCAAGGGAAAGCAGGGCCTGGGGCTGAGTCAAGAGCAGGAGCCATATACTGAAACCTGAGGCAAATCCAGAAGCAATGTCCACAACATAGTCCAGGGTCAGGATCCAGGGTTCAGATGCCAAGTACCAATCTGAGGGGTAATCCACAGGGCAAAGTCCAAAAACAGAGTTAAACTGGGGCTAGGAGCCAGGAAACAGAACCGCAGGGAAATGCAGAGCCAAAGTCTAGAAATAAGCTGGAAACTAGGGTCAGGAAGTAGGAGGCTTGCCACTGCTGGTGCTAAATGGCTAGGTGGTGCTCCCAGCAGGCAATCGGGATGCTTGCTGTTCCTAAACTAGGGCACAGTTCATTAGGTGAGGCTTGATGCAGGTGTGGCTACTGAGGTACTTAGTCCAGGCTGGCCTGCCTACTTGGAGTCCCAGCCTGTACTTAGCCAGGGCTAGTCTGCCTGATCAGAGTCCTTGATGCTATCAAATTGCTTTTTTCCTTCCATTCTAGAGAAAAACAGGAGTCTGTCTACACAACCTTTCTCGGCTCAGAAGACTTTTTGTTTCAGCCCACCTGATGAGATCTCACACATTGTCAATAAGATTTTGACCAGTCGCCCAGCAGAAGAACGGACCCCTAACTTCTTGAAAGGTCTCCAGTTCCACAAAGACTATGACCAGCATGAGGAATTTTCTACATAGAATGGTAAATCAGACTCAGAAATGACTTCATGGGGGAGATCTGATCAAATTCTCTGGGCAAATGTGAAACCAATCTTAAAAAGAAGGGCTGGCAAGTTAGGATGGATGGCGCTTGGTGAAATGTGTGTGGTTACAAGGCCCACATAGTCTCTGTACCCCTCACCATACACATAAGCTTGTAGAAGTAAATAGACTAGTTTGGACTTGATGATGGATACTCTGGTAACAAAGGACGCTGACAGATGTGGAAAAAATGCACTTTACTGGAAGCAGCAGTGTTTTTTGACCCAGCTCCGTAGTACCTGTATAGCTCAAATGCTTCAGCAGGGCTTTTTAGCACTTTTATCTAAAGTGGATTCAATCAGTTATTACATAAATGCACAAAAAAAAGCCCCACTAAAGTGCCTGATTTATACAGATGTTGGGGAAGTTGGATGCAACTAACACTCTGCCTCTTCAGGGTGTGTGCTGGGCTTGGCACGGGAGCATGCTAAATTTAAAGTAAAGCACTGCTTCCCTCCCCACAACCCATCTACAAGCAGCCAAAGTAACTATTCTGGAAAATTGCCATATCTTTTATCCCATTCATTCTTAAACAAGTATGATTTCAGGTGGCATAAACTTTCCAAAAGAGTTGTGGTTTTTCTTTGTTAGGGTTAGGAGCTGTTGGCATATACATGATTTCATTAATACCAGTTGCCCACCACTGCTGAGGAAGGGAAGAAGAGTAGATGTTATCCTGTACTTCGGTTACAGCCTATTGAAGACATGTTTTGATGAGAGAATATTCAAATAATCTAGTGAAGCTCAAAAATGGCTGTACTTTTGCTATGAGCCAGTAGCATTTAATGTGTAGAATTGAAATTTGCTTTCATTTTGCAAATAAGGCCCAGAAAATTGTTCCCAAAAGCAGTTTGCAGATATTTAAAAATGATGTGTTTTTGTCATTTTATGCATGGTGGTATAGATTCACAGTGAGTGTTTGAATTCACTCTGGAATGGGTCAGTGAACAGTATGGACTTATCTCTTTTTGTTTTTTTGAGAATTTTCCCTGACCAGCATTCCCAATTATCTCCAAGATTTTTTCTCCAAGTTTTTGACCAAATTTTTTTGGTTGAAGTTAGTATTGTTTGCATTCCAATATCATTCAGCTGAGCAGATGTGTCCAACCACAACTGATCCACTGAATTGGGTGAAACACACTTTGACTGTTGTCTTGCATCAGCTAGGGGCCCAAACCTGTGGGAAAATGGGCAACATGGTCCCCACTTACAGAGATGCACCTTGGAAATTCCCCAGAGCGTGTCTTTAAGCACAGTAACTTGGCTTTCTTCCTTATAAAGATGCATCTCTGTAAGTGAGGAAAACTGGGGTTCCCTACTTACAAACTTGCCATGGGAGTTCATGTGGTGTGCAGGATTGGGCCTCTTAAGTTATGGGAGTGCCTGCCTGGGGTGCCTGGAGAGCACGGGCAGCTCTGGGCTGCCTGTGCTTTTGCTCCATAAAAGCAAACCAAGCAGCGTCCGTTTCCATCCTAACTCAGTTAGTTTGCTTAATCCTGGAGCAGATGAATATTATGAGTTCTCTTCACTGGCTAGGTAGGAGGACTCAGGCCTTTCCACTCTATGGAGTCCCAGCCCAGGATCCTGAAATTAAGTTTTTCCAGCCAACTTCATTCTTGTCTGTCCCCCTATCATATAGTGGCTACCTCTAGTACATGTTGGTTACTCTCTGTTAGGGTGTTGTTATATGTTACCTTAAATATGTGTTAAGGGATCTTACAGGAAAGTCCACATATTAGGGCAGGAAAACATGAACTGAGGATGCTCTGAATGGGTTGAAGATAATTCTTTTCCATCAAGGATTATCTCTAACTGATTTCAGGCAGTTTGTGTTGCAGTCATATGTCCAAGAGTAGTTGGGAGTGGTCCTCAGGAATCCCAGGAGGCACTGCTCCCAGCTGCTTTTTCCTCCCCCACAGCTGGGGGGCAGCTGGTAGAGATAAGGTAAGAATCACCTCGCCTCCACTCCCTTTCTGGGCTCCCCCCATGTACTCCTGCCTCCCCCCAACTTCTGGGAGCCCCTGCAGTCCAAGGGGGGAGCCCCAGGGGCAGGGGGGACAGGAGAACCCTTGTCCTCCCTGCTCCTGGGGTTCCCCCTTTTTTCCCCTGCCCCTGTGAATGTTCAGGGCCCCCACTTCTGCCCCCCTCACTACACCCTTACTTAGTTTTCAGAATTTATCTTAGACCCAGAGCTCCCTTCCTAGAGCTCGTCTTAGTGTCAGAGCTCTCTCTAAGTCTCAGGGTCATTCTCTGCCTTAGATGTGTCTTCAGATTGCTCAGGTTTGCTTCATTTCTTCTGTTGCATGCTGCACTTGCCTCTTGATTGGTTAGTCTGGAGACTGGCTGCCGCAAGACCCTCGTTTTGCCAGGGCTTCACTTAACTTTTTCCCTGCCTCATGGGATTTACAAACCCCATCACGCTCCCTTTGCTGCCTGGAGCACCTCAGTTTTATTTAATATGCTAATTATGTTGAAGGAGATGTTGCTGTAACAGATGGAAGGCAGGGTAGATTTGTACCTTATAGACTACCTAAATCAGAGATGCATAAGCTTTTGTAAGCAGCAGCTTACTTTGTTGGATGGTGAGAAAGGACCGTAACTAAGAATCATGCAGGTTAAAAGTACAGACCTAAATAAATGCAATTGAAAAGTGACCTTCTTGTATTCTCCCCTAATTGGGCATCCACAGCACCAGCACCTCAGGAGAAAACTATGCTTTGAAGGGTCTGGTTTACCTTTTTTCAGATTGCTGTGTAGGGACAGTGGTCAAGTGCCAAATGATACAAGAGGTAGAACTGTGCCCCTATGACATAGTATAATATGTAAGTTATGAATCTCTTCCAAGGAAACAGGTGATACCATGATCCAAAAGAGTACTGAAGCCTACTGGCTTATTCCTTTCACAGATCTTTTGGGATCACAGTTGCCTGATCTGGTTACAACACATGAATGAAGGAAACCTTTAGATGTTTGGCTGGGTCTTCCATTATAAGATAGTAATACATTTAATCTAATTGCAATAGATCTTTTGTGGCAACTTGCTTAGAAATTGGTTGCAAATAATCAGCAAGATCTACCCAGCATAAGCCTGACCTTCATAGAAAGTGTTAGTTTAGAGCACAGATACTGAGCTGGCAGGGAAAACTAACTAAACTTTCTCACGTAGAGGTGCTCCCCAAGGATGGGTAGAGAGACATGATTAGTGGGTCCCTGTAAAGAAACTTGAACTGCTATTAACTGTGCTATACAGGCAGTCCTCAGACTTACAATGCAATTGGTTCCTGAAAACCATGTCTTAAGTCAAAACATTTTACAGGCAGTCGTCAACTTACGACTGTTTGAGTAAACTACAACACGGTTTTGGGGTTCCGATGGGGTTTTGACTTTACGATGCTGGACACAGATGCTTCCAGCTGGTACGTCTGTTGTGGTGGGGCATGGAGGGGGGGCAGATCAATGCTCCCCAGTGAGGGAGGAATTGGGGCTGGGACTAGGACAGGGGCTGCCCTGTGGGCAAGGGGGCACAGGGAGGTGGTGGGGTGGCTCCTTCTGCTGTGTGCTGCCAGTCTGGGAGGGCAAGGGGGGGCACGCACCCCTAGATCTGTGTAGGGTGGGCTAGGCCAAGGCTGCTTCGGACTGCACTCCAGGCTGGCAGCGGAAGGTGCTGGGAGTGGGGGCTATGCCCTTTTGCCGCTTGCCGAGCTGGGGCAGGGGGGAGACACTGTGCTGCCTCTGGACAAGTGGTGCATATTGGCTGGAGCTGTCTGGGCCTCCCCATGCCTCCTAGCCTTGCCCTGCCCCACCCCGGCTGGGCTGTGCTCCAGGCGGGCAGCGGGGGCTATGGGGAATTTTAGGGTGACTGCAGCCCTCCCACAATCCCAACTCTGCCACCCACCCCAATCTGGGGGCACACTCCCTCCCATGCCCTGCTGCTGCCCCTCACCCAGCTGGGGCAGGGTGGGGTGAAGCAAAGTTTTGACTTAAGACATGGTTTTCAGGAACTAATTGCATCATAAGTCTGAGGGGTACCTGTAACTTGGAACCAATTTTCCTATAGGAACAATGTTATAAATGGGGCCTTGGTTTCTTTACCATGCCTGACACAGCTGTCTCCAGGTGGTAAGTCTGTTGTAGTGGGGGGGCATATCAATGCCCCCACAGTGAGGGGGGGATTGGGGCTGGGGCTAGGACAGGGGCTGGGGCGGAGCTGCTGCATTACCTACTTACAAGTGGTGCACAGTGGCCAGAGCCGCCCTGGC